GACGACGCCTCACAGAGACGACAACAGACGCTGAGAGCAGGAGAAGAAAAAGCGAAACGACAGAGAGACATCAGACTCCATCAGTCTGAAAATAGAGCAGGTTTTTGTTTCATCCGACAGAGAGAGGTGTCGATAATTAGGCTCTGTCAGGTAGAGTGTGTGTGTGAGTGTGTGTGTAGACGTACAGAGTGAGTCTCTGTGACAGTATGTGCTGAGAACATTGTAAATGCAGGGGTAATGGTTGTCAGTTTGCAGCAGCTATAAATGGCCCTTTAGTTCTCTCCTCAGCACTACACACACACACACACACACCTCTGACTCCCTGTGTCACACACACACACACACACACTTTTAGCACCTACAATTTTAATTTACAGTGAAGGACTCTTGTTTTCCTGTTCATTGACCTCATTATCATCAGTGTCTCTGCGCTCGAGGGAACGACGGTGAAAACCCAGAACCGTTCTCAGGCGGAGCGTTAGCATCGGCTAAACGTGAATAAAAGGAGACTGAAGGAGCCGACGTGACCGGGTCGTCGGCTAAATCAAGAGTTCAGGGCGTTTTCATTCAAGATGACTTTAAAAATTAATAAAATCTAAAAAAAAAAAAACAGAGAAAGAAGAAGAAAAACTGCCTCAAATTTAACTGTAAATTCAGTAAACAAACATTTTTTGTACTGATATTTCCTCACATATAAAGTATGACAGTAGAGTAAATCCTATCTGCTAAAAGCTCAGGATAGTGAGGGCGCCCTCTACAGGATGCTATTTAATATAGAAGTTCAGAAGTTTGTCCTTTAAATTAAACGATGTGCATGTACATGTGCGCATCAGGAAACTGAAATTCTAAACTAATACATCAGAGAAGAAATGCTAAATGCTAAATGCTAAATTAGCTTAGCTTTGGCTTCACGTATGGCCTTTTGTCAGGGATAAAGTGGTGGATAATGAATAAATGAAAAGTCATAAATACAGAGATGAATTTCCCGGCACAAACACAAACACAAACACATTCAAATATTATTTACGTTTGTGTCGATTATTTACGTCCGTTACTCGGCTGACGTTCTGATCGTGTCCAGGTCGACGCGTGACTGACGTATTTGACTGGTGTGAACGACTGGTGTGAACGACTGGTGTGAACGACTGGTGTGAACGGGCGAATGGTTTGTTTTGGAAGAGGACGTTGTTGAGAAGAGAGAGAAAAACCCACCGTTGTTGGCTACTAAAATAGTTTTCTCAACTCTTTATCACTCTGTGTCTCAGTGTCTCGTATAAACACACACCCTCAGAGAGGTCAGAGGTCAGACAGCTGCGTAATAACATTACAACTAATGGATTCTCATCTGTTTATTCATAGAGGTTCCCGTTCCCATTCTGTGTGTGTGTGTGTGTGTGTGTGTGTGTGTGAGGCTGTAAGTGCATGCAGGGAAAAAAAAGGGCCCTTTTTCACTGGTTTCATGTTGCATCTCGAGGGACCCTGTGGTGACTCTACCCAGAGTGCTTTGCTGCACAGACGAATCTGTGTGAGAAGTGAGACGATCGTTTTATTACATTACAGTCAGACAGTCCGAGGCCCGGCTGTAGGCCAGCGCCAGGACGCCAGCGACCGCGCCAGGACGCTCGCTAATGCACCAGCAGCTACCTCTGTGTGTGTGTGTGTGTGTGTGTGTCACCGCCACCGGACTCCATGTGCCTCCGCCCAGCGGCTGGTGACTGTCATCAGCCGGTCATCATGGGAACTGTGGTGCAGATAGAGGTGCACGGACAGGCTGCTCCCGACAGCCGGCCAATCATCTCTGCTGAAAACGGCTCCCTCGATGACATCACCACGCCCCAACATTTTAGGAGCTGCCTTTTATATATATAACTGCAGCTCCTAATAACTGGG